CTCTCTCTCTCTCTCTCTCTCTCTCTCTCTCTCTCTCTCTTTCTTTCTTTCCCTCAGTTTCCAAAGCAGAAAAGACAAACCTTTCTATCTAAGCTAAATGTTTTTATTAGTTCCTCTTTTATTTATTTATTTTTTTAGAGAAAGAAGTCCTGCCTTTACTAGTCTTTAATGTAGTGAAGCTACAAAAAATATTCTGACAGTCCAGTTAGCCAATTACTTAAACAGCAGACCTAGTATATCATAACATCGTGTTTTGGCTGTGGTCTTGGTCCACAATCCTGAATGACACAATAGCTCTGTGCCACATCTTAGTTGTGAGCTGTGGTCAGGACACCCATGTTATTTTTCCACACCAAATCAGGAACTGTGTTAATAAATGTATATACCTTGCTTTAGTTGACATTCATGATACAAGAATGAAGAATAAAAAACGAGGAATGGATAAAAGAAGAACTCCAGGGTGGAGAACTCATGATGTCCGAGCAGGGTAAACTATGAGTTTTATATAAGCTGAAAATCAAGGGAGAGAGAACTTAGCATGAACTGAATTCTCACTTTGCAGAGAGAGATGGTTCAAGACTGCCTCAGTTATGGGGTTGAACTGGATTTGCCACAGGCTCTGTGCCAAATCATCCTCTTGCTATGACATTTCGGTGGTTAATGATAATAGAGGTTTTGTTGTTACGAGTGGGAATCTAGCCAGGGAAGCAATAGGCAAAATTAATTGCTGTCACTAACATTTGAGTGATTATTAGATTTATATCTGGTTTTTATTTTTGGTGCCCTTTGGTGCCTTAGTGTATTTTGCATTTAGAACTAACTGCTTCTCTATCCTATGAACAACAACTTCTAACTTACAAACTGCTACGTGGCTCAAACTCTATACTAAAATAATTTGAGCTCGTTTATTAGAACAACGAACAAGGTATTATTTGCCTTATCCTTGACCGTGAAATGTTCTGGTGGCACTAATGGGTCGGGAAAGGTTGAAGACTTCTAGCACTCAATTTTAAGTGCTCTTATGGATCCAGTTTTCTATATTTGTTAATAAAGAAAACAGAACACATAGCTCTGTAGGTCACTCACCTGAACTTTCTGCAGTTCTTCTTATGGACATGCCTGTGTTTGTTTCCCCACAGGTTCTATCTTTACCCCTACACTGCTGAACTTTGCTACCCAACTTCTTCACTTCATGCTGGAGAAGAGCTGGCTGTGCTGGCGGCTGGGCCTTTAGGTCTGAACACAATCACATTTGCTTTACTTCTGATCAGATGGGGCTGTCAGCTACTGTTTTCCTCCTGTCCAGACGCCTTGTCACAGTTAATCACGATGGTGGGACTGTGGACAATTCTAGACCCATTGGCAGTGTTTTTAGTGGATATTTTCCTGGGGGTAAGTCAGATAAAATAATCAAGATATGAGTCCCTGACATGCAGTTCAGCTTCTGGTGGGACTCAGTTGACATGGACTGCTTCAAAAACTGTTTTCATTTTGCATTCACTCTAAATTGAAGTTATTAAATCTCTCCTTATAAAATATTATGGATATCTCACATAATCAATTTAAGTATGAAGTTTTAACTGTCTTTAACAAACACTTGTAAAAGAAATAGGACATGATCTAGTATTTAAGATACAAGCTATCTGTCCCATTTTTAAAATTATTCTAAAAGGCCTATATTTTACATAAAAAATTTGGATCTTTTATTAAGCTGAAGATGTTCATAGGTAAACCTTAAAGAATGTTTATAGTAGTTCCTTTAATGCATTTGGCAGCCTATCTGGTTTATAATGAGTTAGTCTTCTGTCATAAACATAATGAAGAGGAACAAGAGCTTTTAAAACATTTGGAAGTCATAATATTTTAAGTCATTCACAGGTACCTGTCCTGGTTTTTTGATGACTGTGAAGTGATATGCACATTTTACCTGAATATGCGACACTCAGTGATATGCCGACATGCATGATGCTGTATATAAACATGATTCTAATGCCCCAAAAGAATCCTGAAATTTTAATCATCTTCACACAATTAGGAGACTGTAAGTCGGTGGTGTTAGCCTTTCCATTTTATATTTGGGAGGAATTGGTCACATAGAATTTTTGTACTTGTCTAAGACAATACCCTCAGCTCAAGTTATAGTTACAATTAGGACTCAATTTCTGAATCTAAAGCTGGTATTTCTTCCATTGTATCAAAATTTCTCTTTCAAACCTTGAGTCAGTATATTGCTCAGTGATGTTAAATATGTGTTATTTCTAATGATTATTCAGTCACAAACCATTCAATTTGTTAATGAATTTTGGGCCTATAATTTGATGCAAAATTGATATGACTGCTATTGTGGATTTATTGTCACATCTAAATCTCTAGTTGCTTTGAATTTACAAAGTGTGCAGTTTTCTGGTACTTGCTACTGAGCTTTTTTCTGGCACTGGGGATCAAACCCAGGACCTTGCAGAAGTTAGGTAGGCACTCTATCACTGGCTTATATCACCTTAAAATAGATAATTCTTAAACTGTTTTTCATTTTATTAAAACCTATTCCAGGCCTTGGTAAAACAAAAGTTTCTGGCCCCTGGCCCCCAGTCTCTTTGTCCATAAGGTATGGAGTAGGTCACAGATTTGCGTTTCCAATGCCGTCCCAGATGATGTGGAGACTGTTGGTCAGGGACCACAGTTTGAGACCCAGACATCACTGATGCACAGGAAGCTCTCAGGCACAGACTAGAAGGACCCAGGAGAGCCAACACTGCTTGGAAGATGGAAGCTCAGCATCCAGGAGGTGCAATGGGACACTCTTCACTCTCCTGTCTGTTAACCATGAATCCAACCTGCAACGCAGCCACTTTATCAAAGCTTCATTTCAGTTGTTACAGTCTGATGTTAAGCAATCAAAGGATAGCTGATAACAATGGCCAAACGTGAGAAGTTCAAGCCAAGCCACACTCTAACTGGGAGTAGATAAAATTTTGAGCTATTTTAATATACAAAAGGCAAATTTAAAAAATAATTATGTGCAGACCCAGTAACTAATCACAACAGCAACTAGGGAGCAGATGAAAATTATAAAAATTATAAATTAATTGATATTATCGTCCATATGCTCATTCATTCATAAACTTATCTGAAATTATGCATTGGTATTCTACGTACCTATGTATGTACATGATGAGAAAAAGCTCCACAGTTGGTATTACGTGCAAAGCAGAAAGAACAGACTGTAAATGTGACTGTTTTGATGGACTCTACTTTTGATTATGTCTGAAATTACTTCGACTCTCAATCATCTACTATTAGAATTAAAGACCAAAACACAGTCTACACTGCATTCCTGGGAACTCTGTGTCCTGGGTGTCACAGCAGGCAGCTCACCTGTTCTCCCTTTTCGGTTTCTCTCAGGCTATAATATACTCTAGCAGTGCTTTTCAAACCTCAGTGTGTTTGCAAGTCTCAGGATTCTCACTAAGACATTCGTTCTGACTTAGCAGGAAGGGCCTAGAATTCTGCCTTCTCATGCTAGGTAATGTCAGTGATGCTGTTTCCCTGGACCACTGCTTAGGCAAGATGCTGGTAGCTACTTCACCAAGGGAGCCTTTCCTACTTCTGCCATTTTGAAGGCTGTGCCTTCAGTTTCTATGGATTCCTGGACTGTCAACCAAACCTGGGTCTTTGAAGCTCTAAGTCCACTAGTGTATTTTTAGTTCTCATAATATGAGAATTCTTAATATTCAAATGACCTCTGCTAGAGAGGCTTAGATTTTGACAAGTGAAATTGTTGATCTCACTGTGCAGATCATTTAACATTATTAAGACTGACTCAAAACTGCAGGTGAGTCCACGTGTGTGTTCAAGTCATCCTGCTGCTAAGGATTGGAGCTTTGAGCCAAGGAAGCTCATGGGTACCTGGCATGCAGTCTCTGTTTTCACATACTAGATATTATCGGTTTCTGAACCTTAGCCACCTTGGTGGCATGGCCAAAGAGGGGGCCTTTTGAGCTTTCTACCTGATGTCCTAGTTTCTTTCACCCTGCTGGCTACACTCATGGTGATTCTGAGTAGACTGATCTGGAGCCAGCTGGATTGTATCCACATTTTTATTTCTCTAGATCTCCAGGCTGACCAGGAGGAGACCGTATTGTTGAGCCTGGATAAGCAGATGTAGAGACGTCATCTGCATTCTGGGAAGACCTTATTGCATGGCATCTTGCAATTTCTCCCAGAGGCCTGATTGGCTTGTCTAACAGGCTTGGCCTGGATGCTGTTCCTGCTGCGATGCCACAGGGGAAATCACTCGAAAGGATGAGCAGCTATCCCTGATGATCTGAGATCTTCTTAGAGAACATCTGTAGCCCTTGGGGAATGGCCATCCTTATTCCAGTTTGTTCTCTTGGGAAGATGAAGAGCCACAGGTCCACTGTATCTTCCACAGCTAACAGTATGAGCTCACGTAATGGACTCTGAGACCTCTGATGGAATCTATAAGAAGGCAGTCTCCACTGTGGCTATCTTGTAATGAGTTCCCAGGCCTTTACCTGAAGAAGCTGAGGAGGTGCTAGAGGATGAATCTAATACCTGTATTTCTTTCCAGTTAGAGAAAAGTTGTATGTTTATTCCGACTCCACAAACTCTCCAAATAGCACCTTCAACTGTCACTGAGGATGAGATCAAAAATATCTCTAAAGCTGTGTGTAACCCACAGACCAGAAGCATTAGAATCCCCTGGGGAGCTACAAGAATCCATTTGGACATGCCCACTGAAGGGATGAAGTATTAATTCTAGCATGCTCTCCAAGTGATTTGACAGCACACCAAATGTAGGTAAAACTGAGGCTCATCTATGTATAAACAAGGTGTGTCGTCCAGGGAGATGCTACTGAATCACGCTGAGATTTTCTGCTCTGTGTTTGTTTTGTTCCTGGTGATACAAAAGGAGATGTGGCAGATGGAATGAGCAGAGGCTGAAGGCTGAGGCACTGAATGGTGCTAGTGCTTTGCCAATATTTCAGTTTGCTGGCTCAAGGTTGGCGGTGCGTTTCCTGTGATACTGTGCACAATAGCTCCACGGAGTACAATAATTATTGCTCTGGAGCTGGGTATAGTGGTGGACACCTGCAATCCAAGCTGCGGGGAACACTGAAGTATGAGAATTGCTCGAGACCATGAGTTCAAAATCAGCCTGAGCGATATAGTGAGATGCTGTGTCAAAAATTCAAGAGGATAACAAAATGACAACTGATATTCCTCCACCCTCTGTGCCTGATCCAAAGCCTGATTTTAAAAGGAAGAGGAAAGACTTTTCTCTTAAATTGTTAAATGATCAGCGTGTAACTTAATTATTAACTGTATCCTTTCTGCATTGGAATTTTACCAAATAATATGGAGTTTGCAGAATACAAACGTGGCGTTGTTATTGCCCTCAGTACAGATAGAGAGCTGAGAATAACACAGGCGTGAAGATGAAGGGAAGGTGGAATGGAAGCATTGCCATCCCGCAAGTAGCTCTGGAAATGCTACATCATAGCCCGTTTTGTGCTGTTATAACAGAATGCCTGACACTGACTAATTTATAAGAAATAGAAATGTATTGTCTCACAGTTCTGAGATCTAAGAAGCTCAAGATTGAGAGTCCAGCATTGACTGAGAACCCTCTTACTCTGTCTTTCTCTGGTGGAAGGCAAAGTATGTGGAAGTGGGAAAGATATACTTAGGCTACTTTAGACTTGGCCTTCATCTACTCCTCATGGTGTAAATACCTCCCAATAACCTCACCTCCTCACACTATTCCATCAGGGATCATATTCCAAATACGTACTTTTGGGAGATGCAGTAAAAATCATAACACTCCATTAGAAGTGACTTTGGAGTGGTGGAAAACTCCAGAGCTGGAGTCAGGGGTAGCTCTGATCTGCCATTTGTGATCTGTAGGGTGCCAGATAATCCAGTTAAGCACTTTACTCTTCAATTTACACATAAGCGTCATGTAAAAGTAGTAATCCATGTGAATAGTCACACCTACCTTATTCATTTCACAATTGTTATGCTTAATCTTGTTTTCAACTCCACACCTGGGAAGAGGGACCCGCAGTCAAAGAAATGTCTCCATAAGATTGGCCAGTGGGCATGTCTATTGGATGTTTTCTTGATTGCTAATTGATATAGGAGGGTCCAGCCCACTGCGGGCGGTTCCATCCTTAGGCAGCTGGGCCTGGACTATATAAGGAAAGTAGTTGAATGTAAGCCTCACAGTAAGCCAGTCAGGAGTGGTGCTCCATGGCTTCTGTTCAAGGTTCCTCCTTTCAGTTACTGCCTTGCCTTCCTCCCATGATAGGCTGTGACCTATAATATGAAATAAACCCTTTCTTCCCCAAGTTGCTTTTGGTCATGGTGTTTTATCACAGCAACAGAAAAAGAATCTAGGACAACCGTATTGATGGGAGAAACATGTGAGTGAGCGAGTGGAATAAACCTGCAAGAGTTTACTTCTATCGCAGAGGAATAATGTCGAGGGTTACAAAGAGGTGATGATGCTATGCCATGCCCAAGATACAAGATGTAAGAGCCATTGATCTAATGTTCAGACAAAAGCTCACAGTCTGAACAGAGGATCTAATATACCCGTACAAAGACACAGAACACACACTGAGTGAAGGATGCCATGTTTATTTTCTTTGCATCCTTTCAGTCTTTTCTCAGATGTTACTTTTTAAGTGACACCTCTGATAGCAATATGTAAAAACACATCTTGCTCTCCTGTTAAAGTTCAGATGTTGAATTTCCCCGCAGGTCCATGTTTTAAAAGCATGGCTCTGCAGCCTGTGGTATTATTAGGAGATAATACCTCCTTTAGAAGGTGGCACCCAGTGGAAGGGAGTTAGGACATTGGAGTCATGCCTTTGAAAGGGATACTGGGATCCCGAATCCTTCCTGGCTTTGCTTCTGGGCTGTCAATGTCAATGACGTCATAGCTTCCCTCTAGCATACCCTCCATTACTACAGGCTCCACAGCATTGAGCCTGCTGGCTATGGATTGAATCCTCTGACATCATGAGACAGAACAGGACTCCCCTCCTTCTAAGTGTTTATCGCCATATTTTGTTGCAGTGATGGAAGGCTCTCCTACCTCCTAGGCCTTATTTTCTGCTTTATATTTTTCTTATGTCTTTCTTCATTATATGTTACTTGAATTCTTTTGCAGTTTTCTTTTTTTTTTTTTTTTTTTGCACTGATGGGGGTTGAGCACAGGGCCTCAGGCATGCTAGGACAAGTGATCCACTCCTCAGCTATATCCTAACATTTTTCTTCCTGTGGATTTTTGAGATGAGATCTCATGAAGTTTACCTTGAACTCTCCCTTTGTAAGTCAAGCAGGTCTTGAACTTGCCATGCTTTGCCTCAGTCTCCTGAGTAGTTGGGATACAGAATTATGTCACAATTTGGCTATGTTTTGCAATATTTAATAGTGTTTGCTATCACCCCCATACACTCTTAAAACTTTGAGCTAAAGTGTAACTAGTAGGAGGAATTCAAGGGTTGCAGGTCCAACCAATGATTAGCACCTGCTTTTCAGACCACACTAATGGAATCAAACATACATCACTTTCCTTTGTTTCATCAATGAATACTTTTAATTTATCTCTTCATCTTTGAGGAAGCACAGGAAGGTAAGATCTGGGAAAGAAGCTATACATGACACCCCTCCCACATCTGCTGCTCAGAGCACTAGTCCCAGAGTGCTCTTTGCCAAGTAAGCCTATTAACAGAGTATAAAAATAAAAGCTTTGGTATGGTAAAGAAGCAGAAGTTGATAGTTGGAACCTCTGAATTCTAGTCATTGCCCAATTACCAGAAGATATTTCTGTGCAGGGAAAATACAAATTAACCTGTCTAGCCTTCTGTTTTCTTCTACACATATGTGATTTGGATTAGCTACTTTTAAAAGTACCTTTTAAAGCTGTATTTATGTAATTGCCAGTATAAACACTAAGGAATTTTTTTTCTTTTTCTGTTTCTCTCTCCCTCTCATCTTGAAGAAAACACTTTGGATTGCTCATCACTTTCACTGGGTATCAGGAGAATTTTCACTAAGGGTGCCATACAATTCAGAGATCAATGATGTTGTCTGATCCTCTGGGTTCTATGCAACATATATTGTCTTTAAAATCTCCTTCCTTTGTATTTATTTGTAATTTAGTGTGGAAGACTTTTTTCTTTATCTCAAATACATGTTTTTAAATTAGCCTAATGTAAACTTTGGTTTTCAGACTCCCATTAAATAGCCTGATAAGATTTTTATAAGTTTCTAAAATAAGCCATCTCTTTTATGCATAACACAAATTAAATTCCTATCAAATCTGCTTCAGAAATAAAGGAATCTTTCCACCATCATATTTAATTTCTTCATATCTTGTGCTCATTAAATTCACAAGTTAATAGCACATAAATAAAACATGCCTTTTACTTTATGAATCCCACATCAAGTGCATGTACTTGAAGGCCTTAGAAGGGAAAATGAGAGACCTGGTGAACCAAAGACACAAAACCCAGCCTCTTTTCTTTTTCCTTAGAGCAACTGAAGGTATAGGAATTTTCAGTTCTTAAAGATTTAATTTAGAAGCAAATTTGGCTTATTCAGTCTTTGTGTCTTTCATCTGACATGATGGTGTCTCCATCCTTACACTTTGAATCTGTGCTTCTTTCCTCAGAGGCTTTCCCATGGTGAGGAGACTCCTACCGCTGATGCAGCCAAACTCTACTGGATGTTGATAAGCACCAAGCAACCAGCCGTTCTTGGTGTTGTGATCACAGTGATACTTTACATCCTGATCTTCATCATCTCGTTGTTGATTTTGTATTTGTATTGCCTCAGGTAAGGTGCTTGTGTTACTGTGTCTTTCAGAGTCCTCGGGCTTCAGTCCTAAGGTTACGATGGGACAAGGGGGGAAAAAAAGACGTTAGAACCATCCAGCTCTCCAGGCAGAAACTTCTGGAGATAGGCCCAATAAATTTCACGAAAAACAAGACTTGACTTAACTTTTGGAGAACTAGTCTCCCCACAGTAGTGAGTACTGAATTCACTGTCAATCACTGTACTTGTTTCTTCAAATAAGAGTTCAGCAGAAGCAAAGTGTAACCCCTTGACACACAAGGGCATTCTGGGAAGTTTCTCAGGAAGCTCATTGACAAGTCTCTTTTATTCTCCCTTCTTCACCCACTTTCCACCTGCTCAAAAATCACCCCCAAAAGAAGCATCGTCTGGGTTGGCCCTGAGTATCAGAGGATCTGGTTTTGCCAGGTCATCAGTTTAACAAGCAAAGTGCTTGTGTGTGCGTCATGCGCATATGTATGTGTGTGTGGAAAAACGTTTCACCTGTTGACCATTTCCTTTGCTGTATCTGTGTTCCATTTTAATGGCCAGTGCCAAAGCTTCTTCTAAAGCTATATGAAATGTCAATTTTTGTTTTTTTATATTTTTCAATATCAGATCAACTCTAAACTGATTGCTAAGATCAGTGTTACAAAGCTACTCAGTTGTTTTTTTTGGGGGGGGGGTTATAGATGCTTGAATCTATTTTGCATTAACGTTTATACATGGTATAAGATACAGATCCAATATATTGATTTTGCTATTGGGTATACAATTTCTCCAACATTGTGTCCTAAAGAGGCCAAACTTTCCCTCTTATAGAGTCTCGTCAAATGTCATTCTGGTAAGCTGACCACAGGTGTGGATTTATTTCAGGGCCCTCTGTTTGATTGCAGTTGTTCATGTCTCTCCTTCAGCTGAAGTTTTATACTATTTTTAGCTACACAGCATTGTAATTCAGCCCATCCATCCCACTGCTGGTTCTAGATCCCAAAGAACTGAATCATTACAGCTATTCACACTAGACAAAATGTGGAAATGATGTAAACATCAATCAGTGGACGAATGGATGATAAAGTATTTATGCATATAGCCATAAAAATGAGCAAAACCCCTGAAGTATACAACAACGTGGATGAAACTTGAGCAAATTCTGCTAAGTGAAATGAGCCAGTCACAGAAGAACAAATACTTGATGATTCTACTTCGAGGAGATGTTTCCAGCAGTCTGAGCAGAATGCTGGTTTCCAGGAGCCCAGGGAAGGGAAGAATAAAGGATTGTCATTCAATATGTATAAAATTTCACATGATTAAATCATAAAAATCTTTTATGCAACAATGTATCTATAGTTTACAATAAGGTACTAAACATGTTAAAAATTAAGCAGACGGATCTCATATTAAATAACCTTACCAAGGGGCTGAAGAGATGGCTCAGCGGTTAAGAACCCAGGCTATTCTTGCAGAAGACCTGGGTTCAAATCCCAGTGGCCACATGGCAGCTAACAACTGTCCATAACTCCAGTTCAAGGGGATCCGACAGCCTCTTCTCTCCTCCGTCTGCATTGCACTACACGGGTGTGCTCACCTACATGCAGGCAATACATGTATACACATAAAATAAAAATAATAAATAAAATATTAAAAAAATAACGTTACCAAGATTTTAGAAAAATATTAGCAAGAAATCAAGATAATGCCTCTTTGGAGTAGAGAGATAAGGAGTCAGTGTGGGTCTAAAGAAGATGGGGATAATAGTCAAAGTCTTAATGGAAAGTTAACTTTATAAAACCTTACTGTAATTCAGCCTGAAGAAAAACAGAGGCATGCATGTTTTCAGGCAAAAAAGAAAGCTGAACAAAGTCCTACAATCTGGAGAAAGTATGTTATAGTATTTGTCACGTCAAAATACTGCAGTGTGGCTGGAGTTTAGCACCTGGAGAAATGGGATTTGGCTGAGATCACACTGGAAATGTGTTGACAGGTCACATAGTCACAGGTCATAAAGTCACAGACTTTATCATCATGCTACAGAGCTTGAGTTTATTCTATGGAGAAGTAAAGACAGTGAAGGACTTGAAATAATTTTCATTTTAGCAAGATCATTCTGATAGTAAAAAGGAAGGTGATTTAATGGGTGACAGGTTGGAAGCAAGAAAACCTAGGTTAAAAGTCCCTTTGATGGCCTAAGCAAGTAATATCCAAATCTTAACTAAAGAGAATAGCAGTGATGTGTGTTTAAGAACTAGTTAAGGGTCAGACTAGAGCATGAGAGCTGGTTGGAAGTAGAGGATGAAGGAAAGGGGGATATTTAATAGAACTTTGGGCCTTGGATTTGGGCAGCTGGCTCTGGTTGTAGCATGCCGCCATCAGACAGGGGTTATTCATAAATAGAAGTCAGTGTTTATGGGAAGTAGAAGATGAGCTGATTTTTTTAAGATTTATTTTTATTTAAGTACATAGGTGTGTGTCTGTACGCATGTATGTCACATGTCTGTGGGTGCCCACAAACCAAAAGAGGGCATCCAATCCTCCAGAACTGGAGATAGAGGTGGTTGTGAGCTGCCCAATGTGGGTACAGGAAACCAGAATCCTGTCCTCTGCAAGAGCAGCAAGTGCTCTTAACTGCTGAGCCATCTCTCTAGCCCCATCCTTGATATATTTTTATGTTACCAAGGAAAAATATACTATAGGAATTTGGATTGATGAGGGTAGAGTATGAGCAGATTAATACTGAGTATGGATTTGCCTCACTGAAGCCTTGAGTTTTATTGCCTGGCAAGAAGTATGTTAAGCTGCTGGGGATGCACTGGACACAGAATAAGACCAAACGGTCATCATCTATGCACCTTTTGTTTTCTTACAAACCTAGCATAAATGGAAGTAGTTAGAGAAGGAGATCTTCCAAATACCAATGAAATTTGCATCTGTTTCTATGCAGAAACGAAAATTTCTGCACAAGAAAGTTGTGAACACTTAAGAAAGGCAGATATTTGAAGTCTCTGAAGACATAGGTAGAACACAACTGCAGACAGCTTCACACCTCGGAGACAGATGTTGTCTCATAATGTGATGGGGAAAGAGGTACCTAGGAATACAGATGATTGGAGGATTGTAGCAGGGAACAGAGGGAGTTATCATATGGTAGTCATCGCTTGAGGAGTGAAGTCACTGATCAAGCTTCCTTTCAGTGGATGAATCATACTCTTGGGTTGCTAACATAGCTGTAGTAAAAGTCCCAATTCTTCAGGGGAAATTTGCATTGTTTTGACCCGGAGTTGGTTTGTATTTTGACATGTCATAAGTACTATATGTTAACTTTTTGGGGAACTCACTTTTCTGGGAAATGGAAGAAATCTTCCTTATTTAGTTTACATTTGAACAATCACTCATACTATGGCCCTGGGTAAAGTTATTCATTTGCTAGATATTGGGCATTTCTTTTCTTGTACAACATGGTAAAATGCGATGCACAAACCCTGATTTTGTAAAAGGATCCACATAAATAACCGATGTGTTATTAGAATGAGTACAGTTTCCAAAAGTTAAAGAACTAAAAGGTGGCTCAGCAGTTAACACCATTGACTGCTCTTGCAGAGAACTTGAGTTTAGTTCCCAGCACCTACATGGCAGCTAACAACCATCTATAACTCCAGTTCCAGGGGATCTGGCTCCCCTTTCTGACCTCCTCCAGCATTGCATGACATAGGTGCACTTACATACATGCAGGCAATACACTCATACACCTAAATTAATTAAATAAAATATTTTAAAGAAATAAAAGACTAAGCATTGCACTTTAGCCTTCCATCAGTAAAAATTACAAGATAATATAATGTACCTTGTTTACCCACATCGTGTGTCTCTTCACACTTAAAATATTTAAGCTATACTATTCATCTGACATTGATGTTTTAATTGTCTAGATTTCTTGTAAAGAATGAACAAACACAGAATTTAGGTACCAAGTCAGTATAGAACTTGTTCTAACAGCTGAAGCAATCAAGTATTTGCTTTAGTACAGAGCACAAAGATTGTCCTATGGGGAAGTAAAGGTAGTAAAACTAGGAAACTCAGTAATGGATGGAAATTGATAAGGGAAAGAGGCAAGATGGGCCAATCATCTGTTCACCATAGAGAATTAACCTGGACGAATTCAGCTTAACCAGCCTTTTTAGACTTGCTCAGTTATTCTCTACTGGCCTCTGCACTTAACCTGGTCTGTTAGAACTAGGCATACTCAGTTATCCCAAACTAGACTTTGCTTATATGTTAGAAGACATTATTTTAGAATAAATAAAGTCATCCAAATGTATCAGCTGAAAAATTTCTTGTCACCCCTATTTCAAAGTATCTTTCTTTGTAATGGCATGGTGTTAGGTAGACCAGTTCTCTGAGGGAAGCACTGCCTACAACAGATACGTCTGGTCAGTGAAGTGCAGTTTTTTTTTTTTTTTTCTTCCTCTGGTGTAGCAGTTTTAAGTAAATATAGGAATCACGAGAGCTTATCTTGGTAAAAAGCGACAATGAGGATGTGTGCTCGTTGACTGATGAAGGTTGACATCTCTAATCAACATAGTAAGACAATGACTCCTACCCTTCCTTGGCTATTGGTTTAGTGCTATCAACACAGTTAATAACACAGCGTGCATTGTGGAACACAGAGGAGTCAGAGCCTGTGGTGTTGATGGTTAATAGAGAACTTTGTTTAGCGCTGGGCATTGGAAGCTCTGCATTACTGGGACTGGACCCTATTGAGGTTGGCCAACTGACTTTCATTGGTCTATGAGCCTAATTTGTTACTGAAGAGTTTCAGTACTGAAGGAATTCCCATTCCCCATAACTCTTATAGGAGATTTGACTAGATTATTTTTCCTTCTATGTAGGAAGGCTCTTAAAGATAAACATAATTATTTGGACCTTTTTTTTCCAAAATAGAAGTATAAAATTTATTTAAAACCACCCATAAAGTTTTGTATAATCAGGAATGATTCACTTTGCAA